GTTGTTCACCGAAACATCTTTGAAAGAACTGTGACAGAGGCTCAGTTAGCTTAGTGGCTGCAACCTTCAGTGTCTTCAGGCGATTGTTGTCGGCTCCCAGGGAGCTATGGTCTCAATGAAAGCAACTTCTTTAGCACAGTCGCTGGGTTGCAAATTGGATGTGTAAACCCTGGGGTCGGCAAAATCGATGTCGGTATATAACTTGGACAGCGTGTGAGTTCGAAAATCATGGCGTATTACAATACCTCCCCAGGACATTGGTTGCTTCCTCGGCGGTTTGTACCTTTCCGTCTGTTGTGAAAAGTGGTGGGATGCAATCCTTTAGTTCGCGTAGGTTGTTGACATGTCTGAACCATGGTCTGTTGTTTGCCGGAAACGTTTTGCCTAGGCGCTTTGATAAGTTACTTTGTCCTCACGTACTAGTGTGGTACAATGGTTACGGTGGGTCAGGAAATTGCCCGAAGTAGGCACGCTATGCTTTGTCTCTTATTGCTATGCCCTTTCGAGTCCTGTCTCTGAGAATTGGCGGCTCTTTTGCGGAACGATGTGGTTGGGTCTCCGACGCTTTGTTGATCGAGTCCCTGAGTCTTTCAACGAACTCTGTTCAGATGTGGTCAACGGGACTGTAGTTCCAGCACTCCCAATCACCTCGAAGCTGTGATCAATAGGCAAGTGCATATGACGTTGAATGCGGGTGTTATCAAAGAGGCTCTCAGCCCGTACCACTCCCTGGTGGTTTTAGTAAAGAAGACGAATATTAAGTACCGCTTTGTTTAGACTTCCGAAGACTGAACGAAATCTCACTGAGTCGTTTCGTCTCGGTTCCATCGGTCACAAATGTTTTTGACAGACTGCAGAAATCGAAGATGTTTATGGCATTGGATCTGAAATCTGGATACTGGCAGCTGGTGTTCATACGAGAGGACTTGGTGTAGACAGCGTTTACAGTCGGTGAGAGACATTGCTAAAGTAAAAGGATACCGTTCGGATTGACTGGTGCTCCAGTTCTTTCACTAGATTTCTAGGAACCCCATGTCCCGAAACTTGGTCACCTAAATGGGAAGCACCATCATTTTACCGGCAATGCAGGAATTGGCGTGTTACACGATGGACATGGACACGATGAAGCTTACTGCATGGTCAAACCACCACTGTCTAACCCTTGATCTCTTCACTTCCTTTCAGTACGGCACTCTACTTAAATGATGGGCTCCAATTTTACCGATGCTAGCGATGCACGTAAATCAGTCACCACCAGCGTCAAAAGAGGCTGGCTCAGTTGCATACCTACATAGATTCAGATAGCACAGTTGTGGAGCGTATGACCAGCCACTCAGCCAACTAATGCTGATTCGGCTTCCACTTACTCTCAGCGTGAATGCCGCTTTGTCTGTTCCATTTCAATCGGTATCATTTTTACCACATGCCACCACGATTCGAACCTTTTGAAGCCGGATTGAATCAGACACTTCCACTTGCTGGATATCGAACAGGTGGATTTACACAGCAAATTGTCCAAAAAGATTGCTAACACATACAAGAGAAATGCTTGGCAGCTTTCTCAACGATCTTGTCGCCAACACTACCATTCACCTGCTACGTGGGGGCACACACCGAAGCGCACGGCGCTTCACACTAGCTTGTTTGGCAGCGCTCGCATAGAAGCTTGATCAGACTTATAAGTGATTTACATCTCCACTTCGTTAATCAGTTGCATGGAGCAACTGTAGTTTGTTGACTGCTGTGCAAGAAATAAATTTGGACAAGGGAATTCTGTTTTCGCTTAATTTGTCCCGGTTGTCCATTCACACTGCCAGCCTTTGAATTACTAGTCTTACGCACGGGACTGTAAACATATGTAATGCCATAACGGAAGTGAGCAAAATGCGTCTCCAAATTGCAGTCAGGCCGGGCAGAAATGGTCAACACGGGACTTCGTTTATTCAACCACTGAACAGGTTTGTGTAACTCGCATGACCCACTCCATATGACACGAAATGAAGGGATTATTGCTTGGCCAGTGCGAAGCTAACCCATAGTCACACGATGCGGACGATCTGAACAAGTCAGTGTCACCAGCTCACGTAACAAACTCCGGTGCTTGTGTCAATTATTTACCACAAATGGCTTCATAAAACTTCATCAGTTGTACGTTAAAGAACAACCGTCGCATTTGTTGTTGCCGAAATCGCGCCTGGTAGTCCCACCAGTCGTTAAGGTACCATAACTGCTATGACGGTGCCGTGCCCTCTTTCTCACCATACTAGCTATGTGAAACCCACTTACACATGTTAAGCAAAGGTGCTTGTCATTATGCGAGCTGCCGGTTCATCAGCAGCCTCGGTTAGCATATACTTCGTTTAAACACTCCAACTTTGTCGCCAGTTTAGGTCCTTAAAGTCACAGATGGATGTCACATGTTCAACGGAATACCTCGTCATTCTTTGCGACACCTATACCCTGTGGTTTACTGTTTCCTGGCGACATTGGTCATCGTTTTGTACAGATCATCGTACTTACTTCCTCTAGCGGCCACCCAATTTTCTCGCATTTCGGCAAATTTTATAGACCCGTCACAACGAGACTGGACCTTGGTGCAACGGTTCTTGGACCTATTGAGCTGTACTGGGTATTGCCCTCCGATCCCTTGAGACTTGACTCTACCAATTGAATCAACTGGAGTCGGGTGAAGGTAGGACCTTTATAGACGTACAAATGTCATGTCGACTAGACGGAACAATACAACACAGAGTTTATAGAAAATCAACATATTCTGGTCAGTATACCAGTTTGTGCCACAACAACAAGAGCACAACTTAATCCGTTGCCTTACTCAAAGAGCAATGAATATTTGCTCGGAAGATACGATTGCACACGAGCATGTAAAAATAAAGGAGTCATTTCTTAACAATGGCTGCCTCGAGTCATACATCGGCAGAAACATGCTGATTGACTAGCGAGGTGTTACGTTGCATACGATAGAAAAGAAAATTGTATGCTTATCATTGCCTTTCACAGGCGATAACACGGTGACATTCATTAGCAGAAGGCCCAGAAGTGCTGTAAAGAACACCTACTTCACAGTGCAGCTACAGATCTTCTTCGCTTCCACACCTGTGCTAACTCTACAACTGAACGATAAATTTTCCGTGGATGCCACTTTAATGTGTACCAATTTACTTGCTCTTGTGTACGAGAGAATCACGCAGCATGCTTGGGTCGTGGGTGGACAAAACCTGCACCGCTGCGATTGTCGCACATTTAGCCGATACGAATCACTCGGTTGACATCACAAAGGCGTTCCGCCCGATCTATCGCGTGTGGGGGAGAGGGGGCAGTCCGCTCCAAACTGATCAAGTGCCGCATACTTGCAATGGCAAAGGCGATCACCATCCGTCTCAACCACCACCCCCCTCTATGTGTGCATAAACAATTTGGGAGGATTGTGGCTCTCCCCTGGCCATCTGTCACACACTCAACGCTTGATGTGACGACTACAATCGTGTGAGGAAGTCGAAACACGAGTGTTATGTCAACTTTCTACCCCATTCTTAATACGTGCTTTAACATGTTCTATGTTAGCTATCTAAATGTGTTACCTGATGATGGATCGCCGAAAACGACCTTGTTTGCTATATTGCCTTTACATGCCTTTACAGGAATTATTCACCAACTGAAACAGTGGTTAGAGCTCAAACAAATTCAGTTCCTTGGTCCTCTAATTTGAGGATTGGGGATGGTGTGGCGTCAATTTTTCTAAAGCCGGAATGCTGACTTCTCGCTGCATTGCGTCCAGGCTTTTGAACCAAAGGCTTGGTCTGTGCGCCCTGACAATATCCCAACCAGCATGATTTGCGGCATCCGGTTTCGGATTCGCCTGTCACTGTGGCCAGCCACAGGACGCCTGCGCATACAGGGGGACCATGGATGGCTTGCGCTGCACCACCCACAGCTCCATCCACACACCCCATATCCAGTGTAAACCCGAGGAATAAGACCGGGAGGCATGCGGATGGGAGCCACGTTTCATCAACGAAGCCGGCCCACACTCCTTCACAGACAAACACAAGCACGCTGTATTTGGGGAATCAAGTGCACACAAGACGGTGGCTGGACCGTAGTCCGCTTCACACTGGGTGCATGGAACCACTCTTCGAGTCTAGCACTGCCTCAAGGAGCGTATACCCCGTCCCCTCTAACAACGACCAACGATTTGAATGCAGTATGGAGTAGTGGGTATTAGACAGGTAGGCACGTTGTCAACATGCACAAGAGATGGAGATGTCAAACAACAGTCAATCACTCGAAATGACGTTATCAACTAAAATATATTTGTAAAAGCAGGCGGCTATGCGGACATAACGCTTCGCTAAATTAGCATATGAAGTAAGTTGGTTAACAACGAATAAGCGATGGGTAAAAAATGTCCAGAAGTTACTTAAAATGCTAAAAACGCATTAATGTTAACGAAGATGAGCGCAATTAGCGTGAGCAACGTGGCCAGTTAATAAAAGATGATTCAGGTAGGCAGAACCAACCAAATAAAGTGGGATGAAATTTATCCGGCTTAAAAGACCTAATTTAAGTGTAAGTTGGTTTAGCCCAACTACGGTGAAAAAGCATCATGAATGCGACATCATCTTCAGCATTGATCACTCACAACCAGCATACAACCTTAAATAAGTGAATTTCTCAACAATTTCTAGGTACTTCCTACCTCGGCTGTCATGAAGTTACAAAAAGCTATCCAAGCAGCTGATGTATCTCTTCTCTCGTTTCCACCTACTTCCCTTAATCTCCCCCCCCCACCGTTATTTCTAATGTATCCTTTACAATCCCTAGCTTAATGGGCGTCCAGTTGCAGTACCATTGAAATTCTACCATCTGCAGCTACATGCCAGCGGCACCCTTTTGCATTCATGAAATCAACAGCCCTTTATGTGGCCACACTATTTTTCTGGTTTGCTTAATGTCACTTTGTCTTTTCGTTATTTACATAGCGAAGAAGAACGCTGGTTCCGCGAATCACAGCGCATCCATGGCGATTACCGTGGTTGGTACTTTGTCCCTGCCAATCCAGCTGGCGTGAATCGCGGTCTTTCGGAGTTGGAACTTGATCAGGAAATGGGAGATCTTATCAGCCGCTAGTTCGAACTGCTCTCTTCCCCCTTTTGTTAAATTGCGTCCATTAGTATTTTTGAATGTAATTAAAAGTTTCCTTCGTTCCACGCGAATTCACTTGCCACGAAGTGTATCATCATCATCTTCAGTTATTGTGCTGTAATACCAAAGATGCGATATATGAAAACATGTGATCGCAAACATTCCAGACTACGAAGTAAAAATCAAAAGACATAACATTGTCCTTAGTATCATCTCATGCATCGAGCATGAGATCTTGCATGGAGGAGCGCGGATAGCGATTCCAAAAGACAGATCGAGTTGCAGGGAAACTGTTATTTTGTACAGTACAACAATCGAACAGCGATTGATGACGAGTGAAAACACACGGGATTAACATGTCCCCTAAGTTGATCATTGAACAAATTACAAATTAGGATCATAAATAAGTTTATCTTCTAAAACGCGCATCGGTGAACCGATAGAGTAGTTTGATAAAAATAATAAGGTTGTGAGGGGGTGAGATGGTACCATGCAAAACGGATTATGGTGAATGCTAACAGCAGTCGGCTCACTCACCCGTCTGCACAGAGTTACTTGAGCCGTTGTGCGTCATATTTCCAAAGAGGCTAGTTAGCTTGTTTGTATCCGGAGTATCCGTGCATATAACAAATTGCAGGGATCTCACTGCGGTATACAAACGTTATCTTTGCAACTAGTGGCACGAACAATGATTTGTGCAAGATAACAGGTCAGTTCTTAGAGATCCCAAAAATTCACCGTGATCGGTGGCCTGCCTAGCAACGCGTCCTATTAGTTACATCTACGTATACGATGGAGGCTTTCCACCCTTGAGTTTGCGAACGTCAGAGGACATAAAGTTGCGCCAGACAGTAGATCGGGTCTTAAGGACTCTATAAATTCAGCCACATAGGTGGTCTGCCTAGCAATCCGGTCCTACTAGTTAAGCACAAGCAAGTGGGGCTCATGTTATTGAGTTCCGTATTGGGCTGCTCCCGAAAGAGAGTCCTTGTCATACGGTAGTACCCAACCCCATCTCAGTGCTGAGCTACGTAAACACTGTTACTGGTGACGTAGACGGCGCTTGTACAGTCCGTTTCTTGGGGGCATGAAATGTGCGTATGGTGTAGTGTATCGATCCATCCTTGGCGGGTTGACCAGTATTCTGGGAAGGGTTTCCTTTCTTTGATAGGTGTGCAACTTCCCTGAAGTCGAGATAGTCCGTAGACAAGGGGCGTTGTATCTGTAGAACAACTTAAGGTGGTATTTGGAATACATAGGTGGTCTCAGAAATCCCAAGGTATAAGTTGGCCAACTTGCCACTTAATATCCGTCGCTGAGCGCGCGACTCGTGATATGATTAAGAGCAATATGCGTTAGCGCCCTTGCTTGGTCGATAACTTCGACTGTGGAGCTTTCTACTGCCTTAGGAACTTATCCCATCTCTTACACACTGGTTTTTTTCTTTGGCAACGCATGCCTGAGCTTCCGATGGGGCATCAAACCTTCGTCCGGCGTTATGAGGTCTGGTTGCTGAGACGGTTAGTAGGAGGGGCCTGGGCGTCTTCCCACATATCACGGACGTCAAAGTGCAGAAGCCTAACAAATATGGGCTATTTAAAATGTTTTGGAAAACTGGTAGCTCGGGTTGATAATTCAGTTGCTCATTTGTTAGCCGAGCTGAGATTACACTCCACATCGCGACGCACTGATGATGCCGTCTCGCATGACGGTGAAACGTTTGCAAACCAATTTCTCAGCTCGGCGAACAAATGAGCAACTGAAATATGGGCTATGGTGAACATACAGTGACAATGCATATGGCCTATTGCTTTCATGTATTGTATGTGATGGCGTTGGTCTGCTCGAAAAGGGTGGGCACGTGCGGATCGGTACAAATAGTCCACTGATTCTTCGATACCTATGGCTTTTCGAAAATGACCGTTAAACTGGTCTAGACGACTGAATTGTTGACTCAGTTTCAGGCTATTGTGTCCTAGGTTGATATTCGGGCTGAGTATGAAAAGGTGACGGTATACGTGGCTGGGCTCGCTCATTATTTGGTATACTTATATGAGGTCTTCACCTAGCCGCCAGTATCGTCCACTGTTAGCCTAGCTATAAAAAACGACACCGTTGACGCTGCTAGCTGGGGAGAAAGAAAATGTGCAAAGCACGCAGAAAGGTTACTCGGGACGAGCGCCAAACAAAGATGACGTTCGACTCAAGCAACCGAAATCTACAAGTTCAACAGTCCGCAGGGTTCGCCCAAGTGTAAATGAACTAATCATTTTATTTAGAATTTTACACAGATAAACCGGGGAATCTCCAGAATACTAAAAAACTAAACGGGGAGGGGAGGGGAAGAGAAATTCACAACACAAACACTACTGAAGTCGGCTATTCGCTTTGTCAAAAAGTGTGACGAACCAAACGTGTTCTTCATACTCCAGCCTGGCTGTAGTTCTATTCCTGTAGACTTATGGTTTGATATATATATATATATATATATATATATATATATATATATATATATGCCCCATGCTGAGGCTGATGTTGCATTCTTGATGCTTCTTCACCGCAGTTGGGCTAAACCAACTTACACTTAAACTAGGTCTTTTTAAGCTGGATAAATTTCATTCCACTTTATTTGGTTTGTTTTGCCTACCTGAATGCTCTTCTATTAACTGGCCACGTTGCTTACATTAATTGTGCTTATCTTCGGTAACTCTGTTGCGTTTTGTAGCATTTTAACTAGCTTGTGGACATTTTTCTTTATCGCGGATTTGTTGCTAACCAACTTACTTCATATGCTTATTTAGCTTAGAGTTATGCCACCGTATCTGTATGCATTATTGTATTTGTTTTATTTCATCTTGTCGTTCCAGGTGATTGGCTGTTGCTTGATATCCCCGGTGTGGCTGTGTTTGATGTGCATGTTTATAAGGTGCCTACCTATCTGTTGCTTACTACCTCGTGCTTACTGGCTCCAGAAGACAGTTAGTCGTTGCTGGAAGGGACGGGGTGCACAGTCCTGGTGGCCGTGTTAGGCTCGAAGAGTGGTTCCATGCAGTCAGTGTGGAGCGGACTACGGTCCAGCCACCGCCTTGTGTGCGCTTGATTTCCCAAATACAGTGTGCTTGTGTTTGTCTGTGAAGGAGTGTGAGCCGGCTCCGTTGATGAAACGTGGCTCCCATCCACATGCTTCCCGGTCTTATTCCTTCGGGTTTACACTGGATATGGGGTGTGTGGGTGGTGCAGCGCAAGCTATCCATGGTCCCTCTGTAGGTGCAGGCGTCCTGTGTCTGGCCACAGTGACAGGCAAATCCGAAACCGGATGCCGCCAACGATATATATATATATATATATATATATATATATATATATATATATATATATATATATATATATAGAGAGAGAGAGAGAGAGAGAGAGAGTTAAGTAACTTAAGGCCAATTGTGACTACACTGATCCGTCTGTAATTGCCGCATTCTGAACTTGACCTTCCTTGAAAATTGGGACTATAACGGAGTGGCTGAATTCTATTGGGGCAGTTTCCCGCTCCCACACCTGCAGTAATAAGTTGTGCATATCGTTCAAAGGAGCTGGTTCCTGAATTTGAAGTGGGCTGCAGAAACTGTCTGTTCCTGCGGCGTTATTCAGTTGCAATTCTCTGACCTCACATCCTATTTCTGCAAGTGAAGGCGGATTCAATGAGACGTCCAAGGGAGAAGGGTTGTTTTGATCGGTAAAGAGTCAGTCATTGCAGTAATTCGGGTGGCGATCATCTCAATCTGACAGGACAGTACAGTCGTTTTGAATGCCGTCGTAATTTCTTTTCTGTTTGCGTTTGCAGAACGTGGAATGCCCCACCGGAATCTGTCGTCTGCACTCGGACGCTGGTAGGATTCAAAGCCTTGTTGGTTGTGCACTCTTTTCACTGCACAATATCACATGACTAACTGCTCATTGCCTGAACATGAATGTCTTTTGGAGATTTCACTGCCCGGTCAAGTTCCAGAATAGGCTCCACCTTTGTGTGTTCAACACCGGTGGCATCATATACACTAAAGGCCCATTTGTCATCCTTATAGTCTTACAGTGGATTTACATTTTGTACTATGAATACCGCGGTGAGTTCACTGGTGTGAACACACTTGCTGACGGTTTTTCCATACCTCACCATGACCATTCTAAGGAACCTATTAAACTTTAGCTTTTTTACTCGTATAAAACCTCTGTTCCATTTAGTCTGCTGCAATGTTTTGGTAGAGGTCTGCCTTCTATCTTGACTGCTTTCCGCATGGAAGCTACATGTTTTCATTTTTGGGTTTTCAAGGGGCTGTTGCATCCGCGCTCTCCCATGTGGGTCGCTGTGCTTCAATAATTGAAATACCAACACTACAATGCTAGTGTCCGTATCAGTCACTATTTTATAGCGCAACTAATGTTTAACAACTTTTCCATAATATTAGGCAAATTACGCTTTTTGAGCGTCTGTGCAATGTTGTTCATTCACATTTCTAGTCACCTCCCTTTTGTGAAGTACAATGAAAAACGATGTCCAAGATGCGAGAATTTTGTTTTTTACGCCATTGGATGGCGGCGTCCGGTTCCGGATTTGTCTGCCGCTGTGGTCTCCACAGGACGCCTGCGCCTACAAAAGGACTATAAGTGCCTTGCGCTGCATCACCCACAGCTCCATCCACACACTCCATATCCATTTCCGCGATTGATAACGCAGTCAGATATGCTCGGTGCCGTCCACAATCAAGCACACGTTTAAGCGCCAGTTACTCTTTCGATGTATATACATATACCCAAGCTCCATTGTCGCGGAAATTAACTCACTACATGATCTGTTCTGTCATATAACACACCAACCTGACTTGTTCAAGATAATATATGGGGACTTGAACCTACCGGATTGACCATGACCCTCAAGCCATGTTCTGGTCAAATACACGAATCTTCCCAACCTTCCTTCGGATGGATCAAACGTGTCCTATCTGGGATCAAGTATTCAACGTTGGCATATCAACTGCATCCACCGATGTTCTAGAGCATTTTCTGGTAGTGATCCTT